TTTTTTTTTATAATAATAAGATGTGAAAAAGGATAATAGAATGTTACTTGCCTGTTAGAGAAGCACTGTTGATGCTTAACACCTCTAGCCGTGTAAGGTTTCCAAATTCTGGGGGAATTCCTCCTGAAAATGGTTTGCCAATTACAATAACGCAGGCACATTTTCTGTTGTGTTATATATATATATATATATATATATATATATATATACACACACACACACACACGCACCTTTCAAGTTGTTAGAGCCCAGGTACAACTCCCTAAGTATGCTCAAACTTGCAAGTTCACTTGGGATTTCCCCATTGAAACGGTTGAAGGATAACGAAAGGATCTCAAGATTTGTGCAGTTGCCTATATTCGATGGAATTCGGCCCTCCAATTGATTGAACGAGACGGAAAGCGTAATGAGGTTGGGGAGATTGTTGCACATATCGTCACTTGGAAGCATACCCGAGAGGTAATTGTTCGAAATCCTCATAATTCTAATGGATGCAAGACTAAAGATGCCACGTGGAATGGAGCCCGTTAACTGGTTGTTATGTAAAAATAGCATTTGCAGGCCTTGCAAACGGGACAGCTCTTGGGGTGTGGAGCCTGCAAATTATTAGATTTTATTATGTCATAAACTTTTTTAGCAATAGCTTATGTAACTCATACCAAATATTTTCTAATTTACGTAAAAATAGCATACATTATATAACTCATGGTTTTGATGTATGTTCATTGTTATTCTCATTTATTTAAGAAAAAATAGCGAAAACATCATAGAACATGTTTTGGAATATTAGGTTGGTTTCATTTCATTTTTTGTCTGTGTTGATGATTAAAGGATGAATTGGCAATGTAAGTAACAAAAATGGTGTACCTGTGAAGTTGTTACTAGAAAGGTATATAGACCTCAGGCGGCTCAGACGAGACAGCTCACTGGGTATGGGCCCTGCGAAAGTATTATAACTGATGTCTAAGTATCTTAAAAACGTCAAGTTCCCAAGATGTGGGGACAGAGTTCCTCCGAGGCCAAAACCGGAAATGTTAAGGCCCGTGACTCTGTTTTTGTGTTTGGTGCCGCACGAAACACCAATCCATTGACAAACGGATGAATTCGTGTCGGTCGACCAGTTTGTGGCCAAGAGACGGTAAGGATCGGAGGTGATGGAAGTTTTGTATTTGACGAGTGCGTTTTGGTCGGTTGTGGCGGCTAAGTAAGTTTTACTGTTGTTAATGGTGCTGCTGAGTATTATAATTAGCAGAGTAGAGAAGATGAAGAAAGTATAATTATTCTCCATTTTTTTTGTTGGGCAGCTGATTGAGCTGATTCATATTATAGGCAGTTGGCGCACAAACATATATAGCCACAAAGAGGAAATTGACATAAGATTTTGCCTTATTTTCTTGGGGAGAAGTGACTGATTAATTTATGTGGACTTGCTGTGCATTAGTTCAGAGCTCTGTCCAAAAACTTCTTTCCACGTGGTTAGAAAACTCAAGTGAAGGTGGTCCAGCGTCATAGACCTTTTAGTGCCGAGCCAAAAATTTTGTGAAATGCATTACAAGACCGGGGACTTTGAAGTCAATGGTTATTGCCATTAGCCTATATCCATTTGGTCCACAGTATGTTGATTAATAATATCAAATGCTGGTCCACACAATAATACTGTAAAAAAGGTGGCCATGGCCACCTTGTAGATTGATATGTTTTTCGCTGATTGATTGTAATGGCGATGGCTCGAGTTTTTGATCGACTGGTTGGAGTACTGTAAGTTTGTTTCGCTAGCCAGCAATGATTTTTTTTTTTTCTGGTTATCTTTGTCGGGCAAATTTTTGTTAAAGCACAGTTTTGCGGTACTAGTATATTGAGACATGAAATTGATAGACTTGTGTCCGATCATCATTTCAACCTCCTAGGCCAGTCGAAAGCTCAAGCTTTGTATCTGGATTTGGTCCTCTCTTCGTGAACTATGAAGCTCTTACTCGATGTATTTCATCGTGGATTGAGTTGATATTTTAATTAAATTCTAGGATTTTTTTTTTTTTTTTTCTTATTTGGTGGCTTGAATTTGATACAAGATGAGGAAGCAAGATGTAACAACTTGTATACATTAGAATATATATAAGTAGTATGTCTAGAAAAATTGGTTTAGAAGTTAAAAAAAAAAATGTATTAATTGAGAGGCTAGAAGAAAAATAAATTTTATTAAATCTTATAGCATACAAACTTGGAATCCGAACTATTTTATACAAAATACCTTCTTGAATATACCTTCGCTTTCCTTCTCATGATTTGGTATCTTGATTTGTTTTCACTACAAAATAAAAAAAAAATAAATAAATAAATAAAACAAAGAAAGAAATGATGATATAACATACATGCTAGGTTAAAATGGAATTAATATCTATCTTTTAATTTTGATAGTAAACGAAACAAGATTTTGATTTTTGTAAACTGAAGCACGAAGCCAATAAATCGGGCTTCAAATGCTCGTATTTAGCTTGTTATTTCAATACTATTTTACGTAGAGAGAAAAAAATAAAAAAATAAAATCAAAATCGCCTCGAAAATTATTGCTTTTTATTATGTTCGATCTAAATTATCTGATCGATGCAATATTCGAATATATTGATACTCACTCCCCATAAGGTGCACGAGTTGACTTGAAAATTTAAGACTTTCTTTTTCCTAATATTACAAATCGGATTTTTAAATGTATCAAATTATTTCCATAACGTAGGTGCATCAATCAAATTGCTAATGAAACAATAATGGAAATATGGTGACTTTCATAGCCAAAACAATAATCGGGTGGCTCAAGTGGTAAGCAACTTGTGAGTCCACCCCAAAAAATCAAGGTTTGGCATGTGGTTGTCCAGCACAAAACAACAAAACTTTTTCACATGATTGAACACAAACTAACAAAATTTAGTTGGCACCGGGAAAAGAAAAATAGCTATATGGTGCAGGTTTAATGTGATAATTTCTCCTATAAATAGAGAGTCGGGGACAGAAGATAGAACACACCAAAACAGAAGAAAAACAGAGAACAAGAGAGAGAGCAGAAATAATATTTCCGTCTGTATTTTTCAGTGAGATAAAAATAGAGTGTTTGAGTAAATCCTGTGAGTGTAGGAAAAATACACCGGGTTGGGTATCAACTCTATTACTCCTTGTTTAGGAGTGGGGTTTCATTGGGTCACTATATTTTACATTTCTAGTGTAAGGGGAGTGTGAAAAGATATTGTAATTATCTTGAAAATATAGTGGAATTGTTCAGAGGTTGTCCCGTGATTTTTTTTTCTCTATTTGGAGGTTTTTCCACGTTAAATCTTGGTGTTTTATTTCTTGCATATTTTATTTATTTGAGATATTCTTAGTATGCTCTGTGGTCGCAGTTTAATCTGATATTCCACATTAGAAAAGAATTATTCCAGCATTATTGCAAAAGATTTTTTTTGTCATTCTTGAGTTGCTGGGATTGAGATTATTGTTTACAATTTCACGTCAGTATTTTATTTTACATATTCCGCATTTGCGCATCTGAGCCTAATACAACTTGATGCCGCTTAAGCAAGGTCTCGGGTTCGAGTCCTTGTAGATGCAGAAAACCCTTGTTGGGAGACTCACCCACCACTGCCAGGTGTGCGATCCGGGTCGATCAACGGATTAGTCGAGGTATAGCTCCGGATACCGCGGGTGGCTACCAAAAAAAAAAAAAAAACATAAAGGCACTATCCATCGCGCTAATGAAACAAAGATTGTGATTTGATCTACAATTGAACTCGTATTATCAAAAGTTAGTTGCCTTATAAACATTTTGAGATAACCAAAAGCGTGTTTGGGACTTGCGACTTTAAGCGTAGCTTCTCGCGGGCACCGGCCATCTCTCTTTCAAGTTTCAGCAAAGCTCTCCAATGGAAATTTCACAGGCTGCCACAAATCCCTCCTCAAATCCTGCAAATCGGTGAGGCCCTTTCCGGTATTTCCACCTCCAGCTGCTTTAGACGCTGTTCTTGCTGCGTTTGTTTCTTCTATTCGTACCCTTAAATCTATCTCGTGAATGTAAAAAGAATCACTTGTTTATATGTACATATCAATAAAAGGAGTCGTTTTTATGCCTTGATTCTCAGTTGACCTTTCGTTTGCTGAGTGGAAATTAGCTTCATTGCGAAGAACCTCGCCTTTCGAGGAGTTTGCTTCAACAGCATTTCTGTGTGTATTCTATTCTATTGAGTAATTCTGGATTCTGGTGTGAAGATAATAATCTGCTAGGGTTAATCTCGAAGCTTATGTATGGCGGATGGTAATTTTTTATCTTCATGTTGATGACTTTGTTTGTGTGGCTTAATTAGTGATGTTTATGGGTTAATCGTCTTATGTGGTATCTCTTATGCCATCTATTTGTGGCAAAAATCATATGCTTATTTGATAGAGTTAAGATGCACATACACTGCAACTATACCTCAGCATTCGTTCTTTGAATACATCTTGAAAGGACAACAGATTGGTGAATAAAATCTTTTGGTTCGTTAACCCGAAACTGCAACTTAACAAACACATTTGAAAATTTACTTTGACCTATAATGGCTCATTTATGATTTACTGAACCCTCTGTTAGGTTGTTGTGTAAATAAGCTTCTATGTTGCAAATGGAGAGTGTTCCAGTAGGAGCTAATTTCTGTGATAGAGACATTTTATGTGTTACTCTTGGTTACACTAGTCAAGTTCTATCTTATGAAGTTGGTATCTTTATTTCCTCCAAGTTTATGGTGTCTTATGCTTATGTTTATCCTGCTTGTAGACAACACATAGGTCCTGACCCGGCCCGGGCTCAAGCTCGGACCCAGTCCAAGTTCCATGAGACGAGGCGGATGGGGGCATACTACACTTCCTAGCTGGCAGGCCTGCTCGAGAACTTTATTCTGAAGAGGGCCATTTTCGCCTAGGTACTACTCTGGGCTGTACTTAAATTTTGATTTTGGCATGAATATTTGGAATATGAAAGTGATTCCAGGTGAAAAACCGAGGACTTAGTTTTATTTTTGTTTTGTTTTGTTTTGTTTTGTTTGATATTATATATAATTTTGTAGGCACGTCTTAAACATTATGATTACTGATAAATAAAATATAAATTCCAACTAAGGAACCCACCTAAAAAGAATAAAGGGTCGTTGATTTGGAAGAATGTGAAGCTAGTTTATGGAGTTGCCGCAGAGTGTTAGAGTCAGAATTTTGAAGAGGAGTGAAAGGGAGTGGATGAAGAAGCCGTTGGATGGTTGGAACTATTTCTGAAAATGTTGAAATAGAAAAGGGCCTGAAGGAAAATGGAGTTTAATTATTGAAAGTTTCTGTCCACCGAACGCAAAGAATCTCATAATTAGTTACTTAGGATATATATATATATATACAACGAGAGTGCATTCGAACACCACCCATCGAACATAGATATGGTAAAAGAAAGTAGGGTCATAATCATTCAGTTTAGTTATTATCGTGAAAATTATAGATCCAATAGTATCTCAAAGCCTTTTAGAACTACTAGTAAAGTGCACGTGCGATGCATGTGGTGTCGATTGATTTTCGTTGAGTAAGTTTGTAAATTTAATTAATTAATTTATTTATTGAACATATTATTGCAAAAATGAAGTAAAATATAGAACAAATGAACTCATATGTGATTTATTTTTATTTAGAATTAACAAAATGATGTCCTAATATAAAAGAGTGAAATAATGTTTTACAACCCCAACAAAAATATATATATAAAAAAACAAATCCTTAATAAAAAGACACAAAGATTTTCTTTTATCTTGGTTTTGACGTTCTTATAAGAAACTTTCATATCCGTTGGAGTTCAATATATCAATACTATTGCAAAATTCCTCTTAATTAATTTGGCAAAACGCCAATTTTATTTAAACACTTAAGAAATATTCTGACCTAACATATAGCCAAACTTCATGATCGTTTGATCTTTATAATAAGATACTTCTACTAACAAAACATAAATATCTCTATGAAATAACTAACGATGTCATTAAAATTGCTGTTATTTTTTATCATTGCATAAACTGCTATGAGCATGATTGGATACAAAATTATCTCAAAAATATCTTAACATTTTTAACTCGACTACTTTTTTAACTCAACTCCACAATCATCAATATCATCAATATAATTAAATAATATCAAATCAATCATCCTTACACACCACACCACCTTAATTAACTATTCATCTACTCACATAATTTTAACTAACTATCACTTCAAATCTTATCTTTCCTACTTTACATC